CAGGGATGATCTCCTCACCCCCACACAAACTTCTACCTGAGGCCATCTTCCCTCCCTGTTCTCCCTTACTCCTTTTGGGGAGGAAACCCCAAGGCACATACACTATTCCCCATGTGGGACTCTGCTTTGGGGAAACTGCTCTAAAATCAAGGGCTTTCTTGGAAATTTCCAGGAAGGTAGCTGGATAGGACAATACCTTGATTATGCGAATTTTAGATCTATCTAGAGAGGGTTCTGCTTTTTATGTTACTGACAATTGCATGTCTTTCTTTCTCTTTTCCAAATCAATGAGCCAATCAAAAGAGACTTCTATACGTGATAATAGTGAACGAGAACAAGGCCTTCTTCTCCAGAACTGGTCTGAGAGACTGTCTGTGAGACTGCGGAAGGAGTGGGTCAGAACACTCACGACCCTGGGTATTATTCAGGCTTTACTGCTGCTTTGTTTTCTTTTACACCAGGGCTGTACACACACAAGCAAATACCTCTAAGAAAGTTTGATCCTTTAACAGTTGTGTTTAATTAAGCAAATACACACACACATACGTTCATGTGTGTGTATATATGTGAATGCTCACATATCTGTGTGTATATATACACACACAAATGTTATGTATGTGTATATATATGTGAATGCTCTGTGTGTATATACATACATATAAATAAATGTTCAGTGTGTATAAATATATGTGAATGTTCACGTATCTGTGTATACACACACATATATATGAATGGTCATGTGATAAGGCTCTCATTCAATGCCACACACAATTCAAGATGAGAAGGAGCAGTACACTAAAGAGTTAATCTGAACGAATAGCAACTAAAAAGGAAAAAAAACCCAGTCTCTGCTTTGATGACCGAGCCCTGGCGCTGTTTCTCACCTGACCGGACCCTTACACGTATGTTCAGACTGCTGTGAAATGCCAGAACTGGGCTCTACTTGAGAGAACAGAACATAAATGACAAAGCTGACCTTGCGTGTTTACAGTGTTGGAGACACGCCTGCTCTGGAAATACTATTTAGTTTGGATGCATAAACTCTTGCTATCTGGAGCAAGTCGTAAAAATGTCATCTACTTTCCTGGGTCCAAGGTCTTTCCTTCCCATGTCTCTAAACGTTGTTACAGGATAGACTTTAGCTGTGCACTGACCCCTGGACACCTGAGTATGAACTGATAGCTACCTTTCCTGACTACTTGTCCGCATCCTTCGTCTGTGACCTCTGACACAACCTGGATGCCTGGAAACATGGTCTTATTTCCTTCCCCGAGAAGTGAGAAGGCTCGAGAAGACAGAGGAGAGCCCCTCTAACTTAGCTGGTCCCTGTGAGTACTCAACACTGAGCTGCTATCATGTTAATTATTTCAGAAATAAATTTCTTAGATATAAATACAAGTAGCTGAAAATTGCCAAGAGTTAAATTAAGAATGATTCATGCCAGAAGAGCTTGGAGAGCTGAAAACCTCACCGAATCCTTCGGAAACTTCTGTAAGCAAGGCAGAGATCACTTGGCGATCAGATGCAAGTGAAAAACATGTGGATCACAGATGTTCTTTGGAAGAGAAAATCATTAGTTCTTTTAAAACAGCTAGTAATGACAGCTAATTCCTAAATAATCACACTCACGTGGGGCTAGCAAACATTTCAGAAAGAAAACTGACTCATTGAACAAACACCTTGTCTCTGCTGTCACTTCTGTGCGTCCACGCTTCCCAGACAGATCCTCACTTTTATTAATTGCCCATGACTAACATAACACTTCCAGTACTTTGCGATTAACTCCTGCCCTTAAATAATACTTCTAATTCCTTATCTAAAACAATGCGAGGCATCTGTAGCTGAAGCGTGTTTCCGCCTCTCGGAGACAGGACAGGCTGCAGCGACTAGAATCAGATGCTTCACACACGAATATCTGGCGGTGCGTCTGGGACTGCCAGAGCTCCACAGGGTGTTCAGAAAATGAGGACGAAAGAAAGTGGGTCGTGCTTGTCTGATCTTTTAAATGATGGGAAACACACATTTTTGATACCTTGTTTTTTCTTTTATCACAACAGAGATAGACTGATAAACTCCCAGTTAGGATTGGCAATAATCTGTTTTTACACTGAATACCTTGGAATACTGTGCCTAGCTCAAGTTCTGTTGCTCTTCACTCCGTCAGTCATGACAGTAATGTATGATGTGAAGAAAGGAACCAAGGGGGACACAAATGCCTCTAATTCTCCCATCCCATTTCTTAGGTCAGCCCCCTAACCGTCAGAATGGATGTGTCTGGTAGGGCAATGAGCAGGCTTGAAGGCTGCTGACATCACACAGATAAAATCAAGAACCCCCAAGACGGTCCACACTGCATAGGGGGAGGGAGGTAAGAACAAGATGCAAGGCTTGGTTGTAAAATGTGAACTTTATCCTTTCAGGGTGAGTCTCTGGGACTTGCTGTACAACCAGAGGCAGGAGGATCAGGGAACCACTCTTACAATTAAATGAGATCACAGCTCTCTGAACAGTGGAAAAGATGGGGGCCTAAGAAGCCTTTATAAATGGGACCAAGAGGTTCTCAGAAAACTCAAATGGCACAAGAACAACCTGAAGTTAACTGTAGTGAGTTTGCCAAGGGCCGTCACACTGCATCTAATGGGGGCAAATATAAACAGTAGCCACACGGAAATAAATCAGTGCGACTTTCAGGATGTTACTACTTTTCAAACTGACAAAGTTTAATTTGACACCTTCTGTTCCAAATCCTTTGTTTCTATTCAAAATCACGCCTTGAGCTGTTGCTATCAATCACAGCACTCTCTATTACTTAAAAAAAAAAAAGGAAGAAAGAAAGAAAGAAAAAAACTGGCATGGACCCCGAATAAGCTGAAAATGCCATGCAGATAAATTCTGAGATAATATGTTCAAACCTGTTATATACAACACAAATCCTGTAAAGTTATGTATTGTAAACCTACATTTATTGAGAACTAAAAGTCTTAAATCCATCTGCTACAAAGGAAATACTGTTATGTACTTTATAGTAACCAACAGCCATCTGCAAATGTCTTGCTACCGTAAGCAAGAAAGCGGGGATGGGGGGGGGGATAGCGTGCAGGCGGCTGGAAGGAGAAACATCCTTCTGACTGGTTTTGGTTCGGGATCTAATAAGAAAGTGTAAGAATGGGGGAGAAACGGGAAAGAGAAAAAGCAGAGTGACTGCCAAACCCGTGTTACAAAAATCAAAACAAACTCCGTGACAACACAATGGCAGTTTATTATGGTCCACGAAACACACGACTGTATGCTCATTTTAAAGGAAAAATTAGCAGTTCCAAACTCAATATTCTAATGATGTGCTTGCTGACAGAATCTTGTTGTGCCACATTTAAATAAAAATCCTGGCACCTCCATCTCTCAGCTGCTAACTTCCAACCAAACTCAATCTCTGATTTCCATGCCATTCTTTAGAGCAGCGAGTTCAAGACAATTCAATGCTGACATTTAACACAGAGGGGTACCCAGTGATTCTGCGGCAGGAAACCAATGTCCCGTGAGAAATACATGCTGTACCTGCGAATCCTCACATGCACAAAGATGCATACAATGCCTGCTTTGGGACGAAGCTGGGAGTTCCAAAGTTTCCGAGGGGATATAACACTGGGGGGGGGCACTTAATGCAATATGCATATGTATATAATGCCATTATGTACATATACATTTTAAAACTAAGAGCTATAAAGAGAGAAAGAAAAATGACATGATTTCCCGCTGCATCTAAGAAAAAAATACATTAAAATCGAATGGTAATTTGAGTTCTAAACGGCAAAACATTTTAAAGTCTGTATCCACGCACCTCACCCTCATCTTTATGTGTTATTTGCGGGAGTATTTTCTTCCAATCTCTGGGGCATATCGTGTAATACATGATATTAAAAGAAATCAATCTAAATAGGAAAGTA